TGTGTCATTTGCTTAACTGAAACAGTTAGTTCTTTAACCGTAAAAGGAGTATCCATTATTTCTCTGGATGTCTGGTTAATGCAAGTAAGAGATAAATCTCTGTCAAATTCAACGAAGGATCTCCTTGTGGAGACAATATTCCGAAAGTACAAGAGTGCATAAGAGCAAAACTCTAATGGATTTGACGTTATAGGGCAGTGAGCCTCAAAAGGATGTACCAATTCCAAGATCGCCGGTTCAGTCTGTCTGAGAATCAGCGATCGAAAAGTGAGTTTGGTCATTCTATCGTATCCGATTATGCCCTAGAGTTTGAGCCACTTCAGCCACTCCGCCTGTTTTTGAATTTCCAAGGCCTCTAATGCCGCAAGAGCATCTGTCCTCTTTTCAGACCGGTAGTGGTACGAGAAGGGATCCGGACCCATGTTAGCCTTTGCCTCTTCGATTATTCGTTTATTTTGCAGTTCTTCCCAGTTACAGGAGGCCGTCTTCATTCGAGAGAAGACGATGAGGGCCTCTCTGATGATACCAACAACCACTTTTACCCACGTATCATGAGTATCAAACAGTTCTTTCGCATTTTGTCATTCTGTCATTTGAGAATTTATCAATTTTGGAATTCCTTTGTCCTTTAAGTTATTAATGTTTAGTCGAAAGGGAGGTCTATAAGATTGAATCAGATCTTTAGAGATCACATCAATCATCGCTGGATAGTGATCTGACAGCGAGGCTATTGCATAGATTGTTGTAATACAACGGTCCCACAGAGTCACTCTTGCTGCAACGAAGTCTAAACGCCTCTTAAGTCTAGGGGTCCTTTTATCTGGCTTCGGGCCATACCATGTGTACTCGTGATCCTCAGGGTTCATATGTCTGTAGGTGCCAATTAAGCTCAGTGAGTCTAGAAAGGACAACAGTAACAGATTGTCCTGTCTGAGAGGAGTTGTTACCGGGGAGTCCAAACCCAGGTTAAGAGTAGTATTCCAATCTTCCAGCATCACTAAATTTTATGTATTTGGAACCACAGCGGGGAGGTTGGCAAAAAATTCAGTTATTTCAATATACTCTGAGGGGGTATAAACAGTCATAATGCCCCACTCCTCATTGTCAATCTCAGAATTACCCAAGCCTATTTCCCCCCTGGATCTTCATAATGATCAAGAATGTGACAGTCCAGATCTTTGTGTAACAGGATTGCAACATCCTCTCTTGTCCCCTCAGAAGGGGCCCAAAATTAGGGATTTGTCCATCAGTTCCGGGCTTCTTGGATTTTACTACCGTCGAGCTTTGTTTCCTGCAGGCACAAAATATGTACATTTTCATAGTAAAACCACTCAGATAACCGCCCTTTTTAAAATTGATTTGAAGTATCACCAAGGTTTTTGACATTCCAGTTTGCAAGTCGTACCCTATTGGGTAAAACCATTGGGCTGGATTGTGCCACTAGTCACGTGGATGCGGGTGTCTATTCCCAAGGGCTCATTGTTTACCCTACTCATTGAGCTCACCATTGCCCGAAAGCTAGAGTTCGCTATGATAGACCCTGCGTTCGTTTTGGATATCCAACAAGCTATCTCCTTTGCTGTCAGATCCTGAGTCAGTTGAATATTTAACAGTGATTCTCATTTTTGCAGTAGGAACTCCTGTAGTGGAAACCACAACATTCGTTTTCTACATTGTTTGACAAAGGCCTCAAAGATAGACTGTAGGTTCAAAAAATATATGTGTAGGAGAGCCTTTTACCCATTTGGTCGTGTCGCAATGTGTCTCCCTCTTTGGGGCTCTGATAGCAGAGTACAAAAACTTTGTTGGTGGAGAACCTGAGTAATTGCCGTATTGGTAGTCTGTTCGTCTGATACGGCTGCTGCTACCCCTATGGAGAGAATGACCAGACCTTCTTGATTAGTGCGTTCTGTGAGTACCATCAGCCCCCATCAGCCCCTGGGGAGAGTCAACAACAATCAAGGGGTCCCTGGTATCCCCTTTTTCTAGGGCAATCCGAGTTTTGAGGAGGGTCTTCCTGAGCCATCTGTTCTCCTTTGTGATCTCCCGTAAAGATGGCAATACCATCATTTGTTCGAGCCTTCTTACTGGGGTTAAGATTCACCAGTTCTTCAAACCGAGTTTGACCTTCCTCAAACAGGTTTGGACGACATGTTCCAAATAATCTCTTAATGATTCTCTCATGCCCTCTAGATCGAGGTTATCCGGATGATGACGAATCAATGAATCTTCGTTCTCTAAATCTTCGTCCGCTGATATTTCCTCCATCTAAGTCGGTGTGCCTTTCTCTCCAACTAAGTCATTTGAAACCGATGCGGCTCCTTCGACTAATGCCTGATTTGAGGATGCATCCTCGTTTCTTCATTTCTCTTTTATCTTTTTCGGTTTTTCTCCTCCAAAGATAAAAGGAGCATTAGTCGAGGCCGCCTTATCGAAGAGTGAAACTGCGGGACCGAAGTTGAAGATCGGTTGAGGGTTGGAAAAATCAGTAATGACGGACCGTTTATTACCTTCTGAATTAGGGGTTTCTTTTCCTTTTTTTATTCTCCAATTCCTCTTCATCTTCGGACTTTTTTTCCCTTTCTCCTTAACTGCCCTAACCCCGTCCTTACCTTCTCCTTCCTTCTGCTCCTCATCACCTTTCTTCGACCAATTCAGATCACTTCGCTTTTCTTTTTCCACCTCATCCACGTCCATCTCCTTATCAGCGGTGGAATCCTTCTGAGTAGACATCTCCGAGTTTCACTTTTGCTGCCCCTCTGTATCCTTCGAGGCCATATTTTTTAAAGGTTTTTCTGATCCCTGCTCCTTCCCTCATGTGCCCCCTTATCCGTTTTTCTTCTTCTTTATCTTTTTCTCTTTCTCTGCCTCCGCTTTCCCGTCATTTTTTCCTTCTTTCCCTTCTTTCCTCCCATTCTTCCCATCGCCCCGCCCTTCTTTTTCCCCGCCTTTATCTTTCTCATTTACCTTTCTCTGTTTGCTATTCTTTGGGCAAGACTCATCCGATTCCTTATGGAAATGGCATCGACAGGCAGGGCACCTTGGGGTGGTCGCGCATGGGACACCAATCTCCATTCGGCCCAATTCACTTAGGTTTAATATCAACCGTTTTTTATACCTAAGCTTGGCCTCCGGGGCCAAGTCGAATCGAATGTCCCGTAGATCTGGGGTTAGTAGATTTTTGCACGTAGGATATTCCTTAAGAACTGCCCCAAAAGCATCTTCCACTGCCCCCCTCAATGGTCCCAGCGCAGAAACAGGGACTTCCAAACATCTTACCCAAAAATATTTTTGTTTCATCGCTTCACGCCATTCCGTCAACTGTTTTTCCGACATCCAAGGTCGAAACGAAATCTTATGAACTTTATCATCTAACTCGACTCTGTCCTCCTTCTTTCTGAGCATCTAGGCCGCAATCTGCTTCGACGATGCCACATAAGTGGCCAGATTTCTTCCCTCATTCAGGAACAGGCCACGTTTTGGAGGGGAACCGGTATCACCGGAAGCAGCCCAACCGTTTTCATATAGACGAACTAACCTGTTTTCGACATCCGGAGGTAGGGAAGATGCCTCACCGTCAAAGAAAACGGACACCGCATGCTCAGTGAGCCATTCGGCTTGGATACGCGCCAATCCTGCCTGGAGGTGCCTGGTCTCAAGCTAGGTCCATGTACAGCCAGAACAGCAAATTTTGACGAGTTTTCGGCCAAAAAACTCGGCTTCAATTTCGTTCAAAAAATAAAAGATGTTCATTTTGACGAAATGGCAGTTAATATACCAATATGAAGATATCCCACAGAAAACCAGAATTGTGGATCTTGGTAGGAGAATTGTGCTTACCAACCCAGGCCAACAAAGGCCAAGCTGTACTTACTTCACCGTGCCAGGTAATTCTGTGTTCTCACTTGAAGTACGATCGTTGGCCCAAGTGTGAATACAAAGCGTTTCCGTTAAAAGCTCATACTCGCCTTTGCCTATTCACCACGCCCTGTCCCAACTTCTGTCAAAGCAGCTAGGTCGCTGACGCACATAACTATGTCAGCGCTGACTGAAGGTCTTCCGATCCAGAGGTGTGAACTCGGGAGCCACCGTATCTTCAGGGCAGAAAGCTTCTTCCCCCTTACTTCTCAAAACCTAACCAAGGTAAGAGTAGTGGAGGCGAAGATAGCTCCCGTCTTGGAGTTGACGAGAACGACGCTAGGGCGGCCCTAGTTTTCGTGGTCAACGCAGGTGCCTTACTTGGGTGGACCCGCGCCTTCATCGGCCATGGGTCCCCCAACCGGCGCTCCGCTAAAGCAGCCGCTGTCCCTGTTATTGACCACTTTGATTATGTAATTGCCTTGGGCACCTGGGCCCTGTTCATAAAACTGCAATTTCGGGAAAAAAAAGAAAAAAAAAGAAAGTGCGACTTCTACTAAAAAAAAAAAGAAAAAGAAAAAATCCGCATATTCTTGGGGTCGCAGTGTGAGTGATTACTCGTTGATCCTGTCGACACTGCTGCATTCTGCAACGCCGTGGCCAAGTTCGTAAACGTGCAGGGTCATCAGATCAGAATCGTGCATCCTGCCAAGGTCCGACCGCGCGCTGCAGGCTCGCCGCACCACTTGCCAAACGCCAACATTATGAATGCAAGTGAATCCCACAGTGGAACATGTTGGCGTTTCCTATCACATTGAGCGGACTGGGCCCAGAATCATGTTAATGATGTTATGATTCTGAATATTGTTCTGTTCATCTGGCTGCATCTGGATTCGAACGTGGGTCTGTACTTCACCAAGGTGTACGAAATAAAGGCATCCAGAACTTAGTCAAAGAAGTCCTAGTGTGAGTATGCCCCAGGCTAGGCCCATTGGTTGCCGCCCTTTTTGCAGTCGCTGGCCTTCGGAGCCCCAAAGGGTGGTAGGTTTGCCAAGTTTAAGAACACGGGCGTGCCTGCAGAACGCAGCATCAAACTCTCGCCTTCAGCGTGCTTGTGAGGGCCGGCGAGACGAGAGCGGAGGGGCAGGAACTGTATGTGTATGCGTGCGCGTAATTGTGTAAACAGGCGGGGTGCTGCGCTTGTGTAGGGCGTCGCCTCCCGTCTGAGCGGGGCACAAGGACGATACTGGTGGAGCCTGCCTGCTCGAGAAGTCGGGCGGAGGGGGAGTGAGTCCGAGGAAGGAGGTCAGCAGAACAGCAGCGCTGTAAGGTTGAGCGATGGCGGGGTCTATGGCTGCCGACCTGGTGCCTCGGCCGGAGAAACTCCCCGAGGTGACACGCATGCACAGCATGACGGATCGGGTGAAGGGCTCCCTCTCCGAGTATCGCAACCAGATCATCCTGCTCTTGTCCCGCTACGTGGCGAACGGGAAGCACATGCTTCAGCCGCACGAGCTGAAGAACGAGCTGGAGCGCGTTGCTGAGCTGGAGTGCTTCGCCGGCACGAAGATCAAGGAGAGCGCTTTCGGCAATCTGTTGCGTGCCACTCAGGAGGCTGTGGTCATCCCTCCTTACATCGCGCTGGCGGTGCGTCCGCGCGTGGCCGAGTGGCAGTACATTCGTGTGAATGTATTCGAGCTGACGGTGGAGCAGCTGAGCCCGTCCGAGTACTTGGAGTTCAAGGAGCGTCTGAAGGCTGCTGATGATGCCGCCGCACCGGTTTGCAGCGACTTCGCTACTCTGGAGATCGACATGGAGCCATTCAACGCCAACTTCCCGAGGCTGACTCGGCCTTCGTCCATCGGCGAGGGTGTGTCTTACCTGAACAAGCATCTGTCCTCTCGGATGTTCAAGGAGCCCGGAGGTCTCCAGCCTCTGCTGGACTTTCTGCGGACTCACAAGTGCGTTGGCGAGACGCTGATGCTGAACGAGCGCATCGACACGCTCGAGAAGCTGCGCAGCAACCTCGGCAAGGCGGAGGAGTATCTAGGCGCTCTTCCTGCCGACACCCCCGTTGGCCAGGTGGCTGCGCGCCTGCAAGAGCTGGGCTTCGAGCGAGGCTGGGGCGACACCGCCGGGCGCATCAAGGAGATGCTGGACATGCTGTCTGACCTGATGCAGGCGCCGGACGCGGATCTGCTCGAGAAGTTCCTGGGCCGCATCCCGCTCATCTTCAATGTGGCCATCATGTCCCCTCACGGCTATTTCGGGCAGGCGAATGTGCTTGGTCTTCCCGATACCGGCGGGCAGGTGGTGTACATCCTGGACCAGGTGAAGGCGTTCGAGCGGGACCTGCTGGCCCACAGCAAGCAGCAGGGACTGAACTACAAGCCCCAGATCATCGTGCTGACGAGGCTGATTCCGGACGCCCAGGGAACGTCTTGCAACCAGAGGATCGAGCACATCGACGGCACGCAGTACTCGAAGATCCTTCGTGTGCCCTTCAAGAACCCCAAGGACGGAAGCGTGCTGCGCAAGTGGGTTTCTCGCTTCGACGTCTGGCCCTACATGGAGCAGTTCACGGAAGACTCCGTGCACGAGCTGCGCGCTGAGTTCGGCGGCAATCCGGACCTCATCATCGGCAACTACAGCGATGGCAATTTGGTGGCTGTCCTGCTCGCACACAGGCTGAAGGTTGCRCATTGCACCATCGCCCACGCGCTGGAGAAGACCAAGTACCCCAACTCCGACCTCAGCTGGAAGGAGCTGGACGAGAAGTATCACTTCTCCTGCCAATTCACCGCGGATCTGATCGCCATGAACCACGCCGACTTCATCATCACCAGCACGTTCCAGGAGATCGCGGGGCGGGCSGACACCGTGGGGCAGTACGAGTCGCACCAGGCGTACACCATGCCGGGGCTGTACCGCGTTGTGAACGGCATCGACGTGTTCGACCCCAAGTTCAACATCGTCTCGCCCGGCGCTGACGCCGACACGTACTATCCTTACTTCATCAAGGAGAAGAGGCTGACGGCGTTCCACCCAGAGATCGAGGAGCTGCTGTACGGGCAGACGGAGGACGACAAGCTGTGCCGCGGGGTGCTCAAGGACAAGAGCAAGCCCATCATCTTTACTATGGCGCGTCTGGACAAGGTGAAGAACCTGACGGGGCTGGCGGAGATGTTCGGCAAGAGCCCGCGCCTGCGCAAAYTGGTCAACCTGGTCATCGTGGGAGGCTACATYGACCCGTCTCTGTCCATGGACAGAGAGGAGGTGCACCAGATCAACGCAATGCACGCCGTCATCGACAASTACGGGYTGGACAAGGGMGACATGCGGTGGATCGTGGCACAGAAGCACCGGATGCGCAACGGAGAGTTGTACAGGTACATCGCAGACACCAGGGGCGCTTTCATCCAGCCGGCGTTCTACGAGGCATTCGGTCTCACAGTGGTCGAGGCAATGACCTCGGGGCTGCCGACGTTTGCCACTTGCCACGGAGGTCCCGCGGAGGTCATCAAGCACGGCGTTTCGGGATACCACATCGACATGTACCGACCCGACGAGATGGCGGACCTGATCGCAGACTTCTTCGAGAGGTGCAAGACGGATCCGACCGAGTGGGATCAGCTGTCCAAGGCGGGACTGGAGAGGATCTATAGCAAGTTCACGTGGGAGATTTACGCGGGGAGGCTCATGACACTTTCTCGCGTGTACACCTTCTGGAAGTACGTGTCCAACCTCGAGCGGCGGGAGTCAAGAAGGTACATCGAGATGTTCTACAATCTCAAGTACAGGGAGTGCGTCAAGACGGTGCCACTCGCTCTCGAGTAATGCGACTCGCTAATCAGTTTCTTGGAGGAGATGTCTTCGCACACCGACAGACAGAGAGAGAGAGAGAGAGAGAGAGAGAGAGAGAGAGAGAGAGAGAGAGAGAGAGAGAGAGAGAGAGAGAGAGAGAGAGAGAGAGACCTAAATAATCAGGTGCTGCAGTCTAATTTTGTAACGGTAAATGCTCTGGTGGATGGAAGGGTTGTCGCTACCATTTGTGCGCTGTGTCGAAAAACAGGTGTGCGGAGCGAGGAGCAGCACGGCACGCTGCCTGCCTTCAATCTATTGTTGAGGAGCTCCGCCCTGTGGCATTAGCCATCATTAGCCATCTGCACGACTGCTAGGACTCAAATATCCTTTCCGATGATTGCATTTTCTGTTTCTCTTACAAACGACTCCGTACGAGTTTTAATAACGAGAGAGCTCTCCTGTGCCGTTGAATAACGAGCCCGCTCTCTTGGTGACGACTTTCGGGGCAGGTGGGTTACAAAGAGAGGCGGTGTGTGTGTGTGTGTGAGAGAGAGAGAGAGAGAGAGAGAGAGAGAGAGAGGTTCTGTCTCTTTGATGGGAAGCATTTGCCGCCGCGTTTGGCCTTGAATCAGGTAGTAATTGCCTGACAAAGAAATCGCGTCGGTTCTCCTTCGCCCGAACTTTTTTAGTCGTACTAAGGGCGGCTACTATTTCCTGGCCGCCAGGTCGGCTTGACCAAGAGATTCAGTTCATTAAAAATAGCTCGTCCATTGTTTATTTAGTGCATTGGATCAATTTTTTTTTAAGCTTATTTTGCTCGGCTCAAATTCATTTCCCTCTAGCGCTGTTTTTTATCCTTCGTCTTGCCTCTTTCTTTTTTCCCCTTCGTCTTCCTCCTGCTTTTCTCGTCCTTCCTATTTCCCCCTCTCTACGTTCTCCTTTGTCCTCCCTTCTTCACCCGGCCGTGATAATTGATCAAATGACGATCAAGCTCCCCTGTGCAAATGTCTTCGGCGACTGTTACCGGAGACATGGTTGTTTTTTGCGGCCCCTTTCTTTTTTGCGTTTGGAAACTCGGTTTCGCCCTGACTTGAGCTTCTCGAATGCCTGGCAGTCCCACCGATATTCGTCATATCTGGTCACGTTTTCCTCGATGACCTTGGTCATTGACTACTTTTTTCCTTTCTTTTTAAAGAAGAAAAAGGGTAACGGATTTCAGATATCATCATCGAAATCACCGGCCCTAGATAATTCGGAATTGTGGTATAATATTGCTTGTCTGCTTTCTGTGCAGTTCGAACTCGGGTCTGTATTTCAGGGCAGTGGTTGGTGCCCATCTGAAGGTACGAGTTGTCGGGCAGTCGTTGATGCTTAACCACAACCGGGGTTAAGGTGGATTATCACTTACAGTGTAATCAGTTAGGGGATTCTGCAGACTGTTGAGGATTCATCCTCCTGATGAATCGGTGAAACTCCGACGAAACAGTTTGTCACAGCCCCTCGTTTGTTGTCTCCTTCTTCCTATATATATATATATATAACGATATATATATATATATATATCCTCTTCTCTCTCTCTGCCTACGGTTTACCGGGCAGTTCTGTTTGTGACGATATATATATATATATATATTGTCACATTGTGAATCAGAGCGCAAAAAAGGGGAAAGAAAAAAGGAAAAGGAAAAAAGGGGKAGGGGGAAGAGGTAAGGAAAGCTCCACCTGTTCATAACCTCTTACGTACAAGGCCAGCCACGTGGATGACAGGTTGAGCGCTGGCTGGCCCCATCCCCGTGTGTCACAAGGACCCACTTGCACGCAGCCAAAAGGCAAAGAGGTAAAGAAAGGGAGGAGGAAACCAAACCTGACAGGGAAAGAAATAGGGAAAGAAAGATAATCCAATTATCACAAAGCAAATAACACATTCCACAGATCAAAGTATCTTTTTTCTTTTTTTCTTTTT